CTCAGCAGAGTTTGTTGACGTGTCGTAAAAATCCAAACAAACGTTACCACCATAAACAGTTACCCTTGAGCTGGATATTCCGGTCTGTACTGGTAGCCAGTGTAAGATTCTTACTATCTAATACTTGCATTCCAGTTACTGGACTGTGCATTTATTGGTATAAGATTTTACTCCAACACATTTTCAAAAGGAGTCTCCAAACTATGATACAAACAAGATATCAGGACTGAATAAAATACTTTTATCATCCTATCTGTACCAGTTATTAAATAATATATCACATTGTAGGTAATTTATTTGGATTGTTAATCCCTTATGCTTAAATGAGCCGCGTCATGACAAAACCAACATAATGGGTTTGCGACCAGCATGGATCCAGACCAGCCTGCGCATCCACGCAGTCTGATCAGAATCCATGCTGTTCGCTTACAAACCCTATAACAAGTAGAGAAACTGATAGCGAATAGCATGGATCCTGATCAGACTGCGCGGATGCGCAGGCTGGTCTGGATCCATGCTGGTCACAGACGCATTATGTTGGTTTTGTCGTGACACGGCTAAAATTATTTTGTTTACTCAATGATGTTTTGAATACTAAAGGCATTAATTAAATAAACAGATTAATCTAAACCTGGAGGCATACTGCCTTTAAACTTATAACCTTAAAGCCGCTGGTAATCAAACTCGTAAGCCTTTATCAATATTGTAAGTTCCAAAAAGCATTAATTATAAAGATATTACCGAATTTCATGTTAATAAAGGGAAGTAATTAGAAATTTATTTTCTATAAAGTCTAAGTCAAATTTTTCAATAAGAAATGAATGCATATAATGTGCATAAAATATTCGCAGTACATATTTTACATATTCTTCGATGTTTAAAAATTGTTTTATAAGCATAATAATTATATACATATATAGAATTTCACTTGAAGTGTGGTAACAACCTCAATTACAATATACAGGACTTGAGGCATTGGTGACATACATCCCCTTTAATAGGTCCAAGCTAGGGAATTTAATACATGTTATGAAGTCACATTAATCTAAAAGGAATTTTACTTATAGTCCTGGAAGAATACAAAGCTGATGCTGCAAAATGTCCAATTTTTCCTTTTTAACCTGGATAAAGGAGAGAGGTGAGATTTTCATGAGCCAACAACAAAATAACATGGCCGGAGTACTGTCCTAGTACATTTACCCCCTACATGCTGCTATTTCAGTAATGTATTCAAGAAGTTATGCTATGGATAAAGTTTAGTATTAAGGCATTTATAAACCTGGTACAAAAATAAATTAATAGAAAACAAGAATCGATTGAACCAGGCAATGCTCCCCGGATAGGTTTTGACACAGAACAGGATACCTCTTGTAGTTTCAAAGTTATGTCCCAGGCAAAGTTCAAAAAATTCCAAACTGAGGCATGACAGAGTTACTGTTCTTTGCACTGCTTATCACCCCAATGTTATCTATCTACCTACAGTTTCTTGTTCATATCTCTTAGAGTGTCAGCGTTATGTCCAAGTCAAGTGTAATAATGAATAAAAGAGCAATAACTCAAAAATAAGGCAAGGCAGTTAGGGTTCTTTAGCACTGCACTTCTATCCCATGAGATCCATTTACCTACAGTTTCATGTTGATACCTCTTGTTGTTACAGAGTTATGTCCAGGACAATAAAAGCTGACAACTGGACAAAGCGACGACTATATGCTTGCCCTTCGGAGAGCATAAAACAATATCCCAAATTTGCATTTTTTTTTCAGTACTTGTCAATCTGCCTATTTATGCAGCAAATGATAATAAATGGGAAAAGGCAAATCTCAAAGGGCAAATATATGTCCTACAATCAAATTGAACCCTGGCAATCAAAAAATGACAACAATTTTTATTTTTATTCATATTTTTTATTCAACAAGGAAATATACTACAAAGAAATAAATATTCACGAATTTCAAATATACTTCAAACCTTTTCTCAAAATAAGTGCTATGAATTAACAAAACCAATTTCAACTTTCTAATATTTCTACAATGAAAGATAAACTGGTAAAAAAAAATTAATTAATAGATACACAAAGAAATTATAAATATAAAAGATGACACCTGACTTAACAAGTGTATTTAAGTGCAATAAACAAGGTTATCTGATTATATTACTAGTTTCCACTTACAGGCCGTTCCAGCTTTGACAAATTACATATACAATGTACACATTTAGTTGAATATACAGTCAGTGGGTACAATCAAATTGAATATCAGTATATATCCAGTTAAACCTGGTGTTTACTCTTTTTGCGTTTTAAAACAAGTTAATTGTATGTTAATGCCCTTACTTTTTTGTATCAAGAAATTTTACATCATTTTTCTAAATAAAAAAACTTGTTAAAACACTCTATTTACAGTATTGTAGAAAATGGGGACATAATTTTGTAAGCTTGGCCAACTTACCAGCCCTTGATAGTGAACAAGTATTTCCTATAACCTGAAGTGAGAAATGAAATTTCTTCAAAGGTAATTTGCCCTTTACTAAAGCATTCAAGTTTTGGTGAATTCCAAAATTAATTTAAAGTGATTATCTATTAGTTTTCATGAGGTGAACTTTAAACAAAAAGAAATCCTATGGTGAGGTGAACTGAGCAAAAATGAATTATATGATTACCTGCCTTTCTGAAATGCATTATACTTTTTGGAATCAGGATAAGTATTTTAAGTGTGTCCCATTGTTACTTTTTGAGAAATTAACCAAGGCAAACAATTTTAAGTAAAAAAGGGGACACAACTATGCAAAATATATCCTTTATTTATTATCTGCCCTATGGAATGGTGTCATATTTTAAAAAAGAACAAGTATACAAAGTTTAAAGTGAATGGCTTTGATTGTTTCTTTGACAGACATTAAGAATGAGGTGGGTCAGGGCAAAAACCTTAGTTGAAAAAGACATTAATACTTTGCAAAAAACAATTTTAAGATTATCTGCTCTTTTGATATGGCGTCACAAGATGGTGATCATTTATACCCAGTTTGAAGTGAATAACTTTGGTAGTTTCTAAGAAAATTGACCATATAAAAAAGATATGTAAAACAAAGTCATGGCAAAGTTTAGTAAATTTTTGAAGCTAGAAATAAATGGTGGGTTGTGGGATAGGTTTATTCTCCTGCAGCAGAAAAAAACCCAGCTAGAAATAAATCATATTAAAAACAACAGAAAGTTTTTCGAAGATGAATACTAAGAGCATTTTTGAACAAGTATGACAACTGTTTTAGTGGAAACAGGAAACATAAAGTTTTGGTATATAATTTTGTACAGTAAAGATGATTTTGAAAAAACCTGATAGGCAAATTAAAAGTCTAAGAATATAGCTATGAAGACCTAACATTTCAGTAATTTCACCAAAATTTTTACAAATGCCTTAAGTTCAACATTAATAATACCGGATATTGCAAACAACAGAACAGATAGGAAAATGTGACAGGAATATATACATGACCAAGTAACAAGTAATTACAACACGTGATATCAATTAATACAGTTACAATAGCATAACCTTTAACCTTACATGTACATAAACAGCACTTTTTAGAAATGTGCAAAATTGAACTTTTTACAATACCAGAAGGTAAAAAATCTTAACAAAATTCTGCATATATCTACAGTATATAAATTATTTAAAGTAAAAAAAGTGTCAAAGAAAACTAGAACAAAAGCACTGCATATATTTTATAAAACTTGTTTAAATTATGCTTCATAGTAATGAAACAAATTCTATGAAAAAAAATACCTACAGTTTTACTGACAGCAAAATTCTAAATGAAATTTGTAAAAACCACAAAAATCCTTGACTCAGAATATACTTACAAAAATTAAGTCGTGAAACAGTTACAGTATTCAGCAATGCAACTTGTTCTTCATGGTATTAAAGCTTTGTACAATGTATCAATCAAATCAGCCATTCAGTAATTATCATCTATAATCTGGAGTTTTCTGATGGCTTTTTGGGGCGGGGTGGAGGAGTAGGACAACTAACAAGTTCACCACGACATTCTACCCTTATTTTCACTGGATTATGATACACATACTCCTGCCAAATAGCATAAAACTTTGTAGTTTATCTATTTTGCAGTATTTTACGTATAGAATAGAATAAATTTTGTACGCAAGCTCAAATGGTACCAAGTTAATATCTACAAAAAGTATCCCATTTTATTGTATAAACTTTAATTTACATACCTTATTAACAAAAGCTAGAAAAATTTGTTTGCTATATGTAAAGCTAGTATCCTTATCTTCAAAACATAGAGTAAATGAACACTATAAAAGTCTATGGCAATCATTTACTGGGATACAGACAGAAAACTGCTACCAAATTGACTTTCATCAAGTTTAGCCTGACCAAAAATTATGTTAACATGTCTGTGAATACATATTTATATTAATTGGCTTGCAATATTAAATGATATGTATTTCATAACACAAAATTTTAATTGGCATGTGATATTAAAATTAGAATTGACCTTTACGATAGACTGTAGACTAAACATACTGTATCACACTAGCGACAGACATCACTGAGGCTTATTCCTCAGTAAAAGCGTAATTTTAGCTATCAAGTCTCGGTCGTAACTGTCTTTGATTACGATTAGCTAAGGCTGATGACCGTTTACTTCTCTGTCTTGGTGTGCCCAACCTTGTTGTAACTTGTCCTCTATCAGCAACCCGACTACGTCTTCTATGTGGAGTTGAAACTTTTTTCTCTGGAGATATGCAGGCTTTAGGGCAATCTCTGTTAAAATGAAGAAACACAACATCAAATTTTTTCTGATAGAACAAACAAAAATACACCACATAATTATATAGAAAAATAAAAATTACCTAAATCACCTGTGCGTTTGACAAAAATCCTTTCAATAGTGTTACTATAATATATATGTAATACAGTTTGCAGATAAATAAATTCATTATAGTTTTGACTCACGGAGTCTCAATTCTGAAAATCAACTTTGACAAATTATCTGATACACATTCATGACTAAATAATATTGGCAAAAATTCTTTACTTTCACAGAATGAGAAAAGTGCTGCCTTAATGAAACCTTCTGAATATCATTGCACAGCTATTCTGTGCTACCCAACTGCTAACACATCCCTAAGTTCCCCTGTAAGTGAATAACTCCCTTTCTATTTACATATCAAAATTCATTCTTAAGTCTTTACAAAGGACAGAGTTCATAGCTAAATACACTCACAAGTATTATGTAATTATGTGCAACAGGGCCGGGACTCCAACCTGGTACCAACATAGTATCACTCTGCAGCTCTTGTAACTGGGCTTCCCAGTCGTCACATTTTCTCCCAAAATTCATGAACAATTTTTTACTCTGACAAACAAATACTAAAGCAAATTTCAATTTTCAATGTGGTTTATATTTTTTTTGCGGGGTCTTTAGTCTCAGTGCCAATGCTAAGGTCATATTTATGGCAATTGTTCAGCTTCAATGGTGGAGGAGGACTGCATGTGCCCCTCTGTGTATTATTTCAGACACAATGAGGCAGCACAATAGAGCCACCGTCCTCATAAGCTAGCAGTGAGGAGCTACTCGGCCATGGATGCCCCTGTCAAATGTATAACACACATACTTGTTATGTTCTTCCACTTCCCAGTACCACATTTGAGCAGGACATCCATTTGGACACACCTGTACACCAATACAACGCTGTATCTCGATCACCTGGACTGGTATAATTGGTCTGTAACAAAGAACATATGTGCATACAGAAAACTATTGCTGTCTCATTGAATAATCTAAATGATACTAGAAATTCTATTGTGGAAGTTGATATAATTTTATTAAGTTTTCTTTTTGCTTTTATATATTATGGTGTCTCAAACAAATGACTTATAATTTAGAAAATTCTATATCAAACATGCTTACATCTTTTATACTCCATTATGGTTGATGTACCAATCTAAAGCAGTACAGTTTTTAATTTCTTAACTTAAATATATGATGAATTATAAACAAAAATCATAAATACTTTGTCACTGGAAATGAATTTTCCATATTGCACACAGGACACTTCTCCATACAGGGCCGTCGATGGTTGTTCACATACAGGCAGTCATCACAGATACGATGTTGACACTGCCCTGACACCATATGTAGTTTAGGTCCAAGACATATACAGCAACCAAATCTGAAAAACCAGTAATGAATAATCTGAATGAATGACTCACAATAAAATGTTGCTTGCTGTCAGAAAATACGCTGTTTTTTTAGTGTCTGAACATAAACAAATTGGAATACCATGACTGTTTTCCTGGCCAAAATCAAATGTATTTTAATTATAAAGATGTATGTAGGATTGCTTGGCAATAATTTCTGACTTCCTGTAAATGATACATCTGATACATCTGATACAAATTCCTATGCACTGATCAGAAATGACAGTATCATTTTGTTATTGTATAGTTCTTGCATACTGCATAGTTTTAGACTTTCATGTATCACTGACCCACATGTAGATACTTTTTTCTTTTGCATGAAAATTTTTTCATATGAATAGAAATATGACTGTATAAACTAAGTTTAGTTAATCTCTACATCTTTCAGGGCACTGAGCAGGCCAAGGGCTTACACTTTAAAGTACAAACCACAGTCATGTCACCAGTCATTACCTTAAAGGGTTAATTTTGAAGAACAAAGTGGTAATAATTTACCTCCATGCAATTTCCATGTAGTTTCAGCCAATGAATTTTGAGACAAATTATTTAGGTCACTGTATGGCAGCCAATGAGACAAATTCAAATTAGCTCCCAGCTTTGTCGTATTCAAATGTGCCACACTTTGGAGATGAGAACCGGTCTGGCTGTAGTTGGTTCCCATATTCAAAGCACGGCTTATTTGAATACGGCAAAGCTGGGGAGCCAATTCTGAATTTGTCGAAAGATTGTGAAAATGGAGTAAAACAGGGATAATCTTGAAGTTTATTTCGCCTGTTGCGTTGTTTAAACAGGTCAAAGCCTGGGGCCACAAAGCTTGCCCGGCAATAGACTACATGTGCATTGGTGCAAGTTCAAAATTTCTAAAAACCCGAAAGCCCCCAATTTAGCATTATTTAAAATGGTTTTTACTTTTATACAGTAAAACTAAATGTGTGCTTTCAAGAGTATAAAAAACCTAAACTTCATGCAAATGCCTGAAAACTTGTACCCATGCACGTGTATAATTAAAAAGAAATTTTATTTTTTTTATAGAATTCTATATAGTGGAACCCCATTGTATCGTGCTATTCATTGTATCGATCTATTTACAAATCTTTCGATTTTTTTGCAAAATGCAGTAGCTACTGATTGCTAACATTTACAAAAGTGTCACGAAAATCTTTCGCATTTGTTTTGTGCCGTCAAAATGGTCAAAAACAGGTTTCCAGTACCGTCAGACTTTGTAGATAATAAATGGACTTATAAATAGTGTGTTCTTATTAAAAACACATTTACTGTCTGTTGAAAGTTCCTAAATTTATGCTGACATTTTAAAACAGAGATCTTTGATTCTAATTGACTGAAAAATCTAGCATAAAGATGGGTCAGACTTCCAAAACTTTGACTTAATGAGCGATTCTCACAATGCATCGATATAATGGTGTGACCTAATTGTTCAACCTGTTTGACATATATTCCAAAGCTAAAAACTATATATCAGTGATCAGGGTTGCCATTAAGATGCGGCAGGAGGCCAAAATGCCTGTCTCGAATGCATTATGGGCCGCCTCAAAATTAAGAAAACACCCTTTGTTATGCATGATAAAGACAGAAATGACCGCCTCAAGTTCAAAACAAACCTTCTACAAAAAATGTTAATGACAACCCTGAGTGATGTTTGCCATGTAATATTTATGACAAAAGAATCAAAATAAATGATACAAAATAAAGATTCAGGGAAATTTAATGTTTTTAACTGCAGTTGTGATTTATGGGTTAATAGATCGATACAACGGGGTTCCAGGCTACCTATCAGCGGAATTTTGAGTAGATCTATCATTTCTTATTGGGCGTCGTAATGATTTGATAAATGGCGGTGTACTCTGATAATATTGATGTTGAAGTTTACAATTGACCATCATCATAGAGAAGAATATCTTCTTTGTCGATGGGACCAGGTACGTATATTAACGGTATCCGCAACAAGGTTTTAGACCGAGATTGCTGTCGTGTCGGTCGTGCGCATGCGCACATGCTACCAAAAAATTTAATCGATGGCGGACGGAGCAATTTTTGTTGATGAAAAATCTGTAAATTAAGCACAAAATACTCAAGAAATAATGACAGGTAAGTCTTATGTTTTTGTTATGTACCTGTATTTTTACTAGATTACGCTTCCAAATGGCGTAAATCGGGTGTGGAAATTTCCAGTCTGTATGAATGAGATCGACAAAATGGCGGATATTTGTTAAAAACGGGTGAACATGTATAAAATCTGCAGAGTTATCAGGCTTAACCTACTTGTAGAAAACTGATTTAACTTGCACAAATCGGTTTAGAATATATTAAAGTAAGTCAGGGCTCACGCTGCCGGTCGCCATAGTCGCCATTTGCGATTATTTTATAAGATTGGCGATTATTTTTGCATTTTGGCTACAAAATCTGGCGATTATTTTTTACTTCCAACAGTGTTTATTTAAGGTGTAAAAATCGATAATGAATGCAGTAGACCCAATTAACACCAGCGGGGTGCATTTAATTGAGTGTCAACTTTTTACCGGTCACGTGCTGCTAACTATATTGCCCGAGGTGATAAAATACATGCGAGATGTATAATTGTATAAGTACTTTAAAGATATTGTCCAGCATTTATAATAGCCATCAAATATCCGTCAATTAGCCACAAAAATCGTTTTAAAATTGATAAACTGGATATTGACTTACCCAAAATTTACCGTGAATTGCAGTAATTGCAAATTTTGATATTTTTTTTTGTTTTAAGCTACTTAACTAAATCGCCAGTGGAAAACAATGGTAAAATATTTAAAAAGTATAAACTTCCAAACAACTATTTGCACAACAACCAAAATTGTGAATATTTCTTCAGAAAACAGGAAAAATCCGATTGTCACATATTTTCGCGACACCGATAATTTTGATATTTATTTAAAGGTGAAATAAGCTATGTTCTGTTTAAAAATCTTTACTACTATGGCAGAAAATTTGTATAACATTGGTGATGATGATATTTTTCAGTAAATTACGCAGAAAAAAGGCTGCATTCTGTAAATGAGTTTGCAAACTTGTGTTATTTCTATAGCTAATATGACATAGATCTACTCCAGTTCTGTGTGAAATGTTGAAATTGACAGTGGTTATGATAAGCTGACAAAATTTGATTAGAACAAACAAAAAAAGTTGTCTGATAACAGCAGTATGTAAAGTTATAATGAATCTTTAATGTTATTGTTGTACAGTAATTATACGAATTATAACGTTTTTATTCTGTTCTATAATAACAATTAAAGTTGTGGTTCTATTAACTATTTTAAAAAAGGTAGTTATCAATATACACAAATGTGTCAGTTTATTTGAGAATCCTTATAAAACTGAAAAAGTTTTATAATTATGTAATGTTTATTTAATCAACTGCTTATGTTGTTAATCGCTAAATCGTGAATAGTCCGCTGAACTTTTGGCTATTATTTTTTTAAGTTGAAAATATTGGCTATTATTTCATTTGAGCCAGTGTGAGCCCTGGTAAGTTATGTAGGTACTTTTAAGGCTCCCTCATCATCTGATCTGTTGTTTTTGTGGCGTGAAATTTGAAGGAAATTTGTAAATTTTTGCGGTGCAAAAATAAATTCACGACCTATTTTGGCCCAAACATCAGAGGTATCTAAAGACCTTGAAAATACAAATGAAAGCTTTAAAGTTAGTTACTACATTATTGTGAATGGGGTGTGGTATTATTTATAATTTTCAACTGAATATTTTTGATGCTATGGTCTTTTGAAAATGGATGAAATTTCCCCCAGTTTTTTTTTTTCATTTACTCAGAAGTTATATTCAACTTCTTTTTTGTTAGTTATTCCAGGTACGTATATTAACATTAGTACATGGTTATTCTGTTGATAAAACAAAATATTTATATTAAATGTCATTTCATCTATTTCAGATCGTAACAAATGTGCTTCAAGGGTTTCAAGTGGTAGATCAGCACGACAATTTCACTGAATGCTGATACAGCCCAAAAGTTCAAAGATTTGCAGCTTGTGCCAGGAGAGTCCCAGAAGTGTCAAATAAATTTCGGGAATAAAGTGACACTAAATGAAAACACTATAAACAGTCATTTTATAGCCAGTGCGATGCTATTGAAGTTTTATGTAAATCCAGTTATAAAATAAAAGGCAAAACTTATGTGTTTTCATTTTTATTTCTTTTTTTTTACTACCAGGTACCTGATACTACTATTTCCAATACCTTTATGTCTATTCTCTCGAAAAATGTACGTTCATTCAAGAGAACCTGAAAGATACTGACATATGTAGTGGTGAAACAGTTTGCTCAATATAATTGTATAAAAAGCAACACAGAGAATATGTTTTAAATAAAAACAATTAACTGGATATAGTAATAATCTAGCCTTACCCACTAAAAAGCAGTTTCAAACAGGACCGACTGATAGAAAAAGTGTGAAAACTATCACAATTGAACAATTAAATAGATGCACATTAATAACCGTGATTAAATCAATTACTGAATCTGCAGAAAACATCAATTATGACGGTACAATGTACTTATTTTTCACAATACTTTCATAATAACAAAAAATGTTTAGGCCGTTTTTCAGAAAAATATACGTACCTGAGAAAACGAACATTTTTATAAGAGCTCTTTTCTGGTGCAGTTTGAAAATTATATAATCATACTTTTATTCAATTTTAAAAATAGATAGATAGATAACTTCATTCTTTAAAACAATGTTCAAATAAAAAAAATATAAAGGGCTTAATAAGTTAAATATATGGTAAAAGTTGCGTTCGAAATATGCAAGATGATTTTGGTCATGTGATTCTTCACGATATCTTATCCGCATTTATTTAAGATACGCAATAGAAATTGAAAAATAAAAAAATTAAAACTACAGTTTATAAGCTTTTTATAAATAATTTTTCACAAATTTCGGCAAAAAAAATGACGAAACAATAATAACTTGTTACTACATGTATATAAAATTTCTTTCGTGTGCAGTCGCGATTTGGCTGGTAGTAAAAGTTGCGTTTTTTACTCGTTACAATTCCGGAAATAATTTAGCTTTGTAAATGATAATTACACGGTTAAAAAGATCAAATTCTCAGCTTTCTTTTGATAGGTATTTTGCTAAATTCGGACCATAAATTACGAAAAAATCTTATATTTGTTCGAGGAGGGCATCATTATTTTTACTGAAGTTTTGACATAATCGGGAGACAAAAAAAAAAAACTCTGTGTTTAACTCGTCGTAATTTTCTTCATACTAAACGCACTGATTTATAAAATATATATTTGAAAAAATCTATCTTTCAGCTTTCTAGAATATGTTACTTTTAAAAAATTGAACAGAAAATAACATGTTGACGGTAATTTAAATAACCAAGGTCAAATATCACACCGCTTAATGATATGTAATCGTCGATAAAAATCAATAACGATCGGCAGTCTGGATGGATTATCTGCCACGACAGCATAATTTACCGTTATTGATTTACTGTATAGAGTTGCGGATACCGTTAATATACGTACCTGATGGGACTGAAGGATAATGTAAAAATATTGAAAATGGAATAAAATATATAGTGATTTTTACGGCAAGTGTGCAGATTTTTTCTGGAGAATCAAGATCTATTATAGACGTTTAAATACGGCTTATATTAAGTTTTTTTATATATATATGATCAGTACATGTGGTGCGATTGACAAATATACATTTTATTTGGATTTTAAAGGCGTTTTAGCTCCACACCCCAAGTGTCTGTGGCTCAAAACACCTTTTCCAATATTTTCACATAATCCTTTTGTCAATCCTTTTGATACATTGAATTATTATACACCAAGTTATACATAACAAACCTCTGTTCATATGTCGACTGAAAAGTTTCTAGATCTGTTGCTTTCATTGTCGTTGCACTGTCGAAAATTCAGTTTTTTTACCGGATGTTGTTTTGCTTTGTTCGATATTGCCGCTTTTCAGTCACGTGACATAATTTCTTATTTCTGATTGGTTAAAAATAAAAATAATGGGACTGGTATAATATCTTCAATTTCCCTCTAAATCTCAATGAAATGTGGGACATAACATCCTTGGAAATTCAATGAAAACAACATACTTCTTTCGTCAAGAAAAACATGGCAACCACCTTAAAATGCTTTCATCAATTTGGTATATATATAGCCTAAAAGTTAAGATTTAAAAAATGAAGAATATAACAAGAAAATATAGTTAATATATTGTAGCTTTAAATTTGAACATAAGCGGTACGGAAAAACACACACAAATTAAGGCGCACATACATGCCCAACAACACCCCCTGCTTCCACAAAAAAATCACACACGCACAGAAACTGGTTGACGGGTAACCTTTAATGGTTGAGGCATAGTAATAGAATTGCAGCCACCGTTTAACCCAGCGTGGCCGTAAGAGGCGATAAAATGGGTTCGTATAACTGGAGTGTATGTACCCATTAGCTCCAGTAGATGAGGTGGTTTTGACCTGAAGTTTGTCACACCCGAAGTAAGGCAAAATCATCTTTCATGTTTCGGCGACATGTGACCTTAATAAGTTGAGACCAAACAAACACGAAACAATTTGGGACGACGAAATAGAGACCGGAAATTTGTTTCCTGCGGACTTACTGCCGATGTCCTAACTGAAGTTGGGAGTGATATACAACAGTAATCAGGGGGATAAAGGAAGGGTACTAGAGTGTCTGAGCCCCAAATACACAGTGATATTTTGTAATGCAGACCCTTTGCTTGCTGCGCCTTATGATTTATGTCTCAGGTCAAATGTACGTTTGAGTGCTTATTACATTGAGCTAATTTAAGCTTATATACAGTTGAGTTCACACTAAAGATTACACAAAGTGCACTAGGAGTGCACTAGAGGTGCACTACTAGTGCACTTCAAAGTGCACTAGTAGTGCACTACTAGTGCACTTCATTAGTGCACTTTGTAGTGCACCAGACCTATTATATGGATTAAGCAGTTACCTTTTATTTCAATGAATAGCAATTTGACTTTTACAAAAAGAAAGATAAATATAAATATCTGTTTAGTAGCTTTTCATAATAACTTTGAAGTTGAGAATATTGGATTTTGTAAAATATGGCGTAAAATATTAAAAAAATATTTTTTCAAAGTCATTAGTTTTACTGATTTTGTACTTTAAAACTTAATTGTTAGAATAAGTATATACATATAAATAATTCTTTCTTTAATGTTGATAAGTGCATGAATAAACAAAATTTATTGATATTTAATTTGCTTCTATCTTAATATAATCTGGTAATGAAATATGAAACATTGAAATGCTAATTAAACAAAATTCAGTCATTTTTTATTTGTTTTATTTTGGTTGGGGGGAATTATACCAATAAGTTATTTTTGATTTTAACTTATGGTTGCTTTAGTTAGAGGTAATGATTTCAAGCATTAATAGCCTTAAATACATTAAAGAATCAATATGTTTATAATTGGCCTAGATTTTGTCAATTTTATCCCATTTATAATCTCTCTTACCTTCTCAAACTGAGATTTACCTAAGATTAATATACATAATATATATTATTCTGAAAGTAGTTGATTGTAAAATGCAAAAATAATTCAGTTTTCTTTTTGTACTACTTGATATGAAATTTATTTGCACCAACATCCAGAGAATACAGAATTTACATTGCCTATTTATATTTATCATCTGCCTTTTGTTATTTACCCTGAGGGGCTCTATTATCAGCAGGGTACTATATTAAAACACCAATACACAGCATGACTTTTGACACTTTAATCTTCTGTAACTGTTTACTGCCCATGTGTGATATTTTATTTAAAAAAAAAAAAATAACCAGATCTACATTAATGTGAAAAGGAAGTTGAAAAAGTTTTATAATCATGTATTTAAATATTTTCTTTAAAATATATTATCTTCTATAAATGTGTTTATACTGACACTAAGGCAAATTTGTCAAATCTATAATAGAAAAAATTAACATTCACCAATTCAAAAACTAAAAGATGCTGCAGATTTATTATTTGTAGAATTGCAAGAAATGTGGATAAATATTGATTTGAGGTCTTTCTAGAATGGTTAACACTTTTAAACCAGTTTTTTTATGATAAGATTAGAAAATTCTACTTCAGAGACAATAATGACAATAATATGTAACACTCGTTTATGCCATTAAGATTATTTTTCATATTTGATTATTTTTAACAAAAATTATAGTCATTTATATATGTCTTACATGTATTTTTGGGGGAATAAAACAGGAAATTTTAAATAACTATTGCATACATCTGCATTTTTGTTATTTACCCTGAGGCCCTGTTGTCAGCAGGAGACGACCGCAGGAGACCAGTATAATGAAAACAGTTACTCTCAGAAAAATACCAATACACAGCATGACTTGAGACTTTTTTCATTCCCTTTATACATTAAATTTTTAATATAGAAATCTTGAATAAAGTTATCAATTTAATAATTTCATGGAAAACTTTTAATTATTTATATCTTTAAAAAGTATGCAAGCAATTCATGGTTGCAAAACATACTATCACAGTGTATAGATTGTTTTAATATCAATGAATTAATATCTTCTTTCAATCTTGAACATGAGTTATTGCTTCTTAAGTTATATACGATTATGCAGAATGGCAAGAAATTTGGATAAATATAGAAAATTCTGCTTTAGAGACAATAATATCTATACGCATTTATGCCGTTATGATTTTTTTTGTATATTTGATTATACAAAAATTATGGTCATTTATATATATGACTAACAAGCCTGAGTGCCAAGGCATTCCAGGCTTATGTCTAACATGCATTTTGAGAAAACCACGGAATTTCAATGCATACTAATAATCTGCAAAATTGACTGTTCTTTATCATTTACCCTGAGGCCCTCTTATCAGCAGGAGAGTGGTATAACGAAAACTGTTAGTTCCTCTCAGAAAATACCAATACACAGCATGACTTGTGATTTTCCTCTTCAATAAAAGTATTCCTTTTATACATTATTTTTAATATTGAAATCATGAATAAAGTTATCAAATTTATTTATTTTATGGATAATATTTTAATTTTTTTATATCTTTAAAACATATGCAAGCATTACACAGTTGAATACTAAATTTTCACAGTATATTGATTGTTTTAGCATCAATGTATTAATATTCTCTTTCAATATTGTACACGAGGAACTGTCTGTAAGTTATATATTATAAAAATAACACTTTAGCTTAAATATAAACTTTTCCTTGATTTATTTGAGCTTATGGAAAAAAGTTTATGTTGTTACAAACTAAATCATTTGGGCCAGAATTATCACATTGATTAAAATAGATTTTGAATGTTGGTATTTTGTCACCATAAAATCTCTGACATTAGTAACAAAAAACGATATCGTTTCTGTCAATTCAAATTTATTGTAAGTACATGTAGTGTATAAACGCACACACACACACACACACACACACACACACACACACACACACACACACACACACACACACACACACACACACACACACACACACACACACACACACACACACACACACACACACACACACACACACACACACACACACACACACACACACACACACACACACACACAACACACACACACACACACACCACACACACACACACACACACACACACACACACACACACACACACACACACACACACACACACACACACACACACACACACACACACACACACACACACACACACACACACACACACACACACACACACACACACACACCACACACACACACACACACACACACACACACACACACACGTGCACACACACGCACACGCACACATGCACACGCACATTCTATGACAAAATTTGCAAAATGTGAACAAAATAATCAGTTAGTTGTACTTTTATATATTATTTGGTCTGGTTTGGTATCTTGTCCATTACATATATGTACTGTCTTTTGTACCATAATTAAGTTATTTTATTCTACTTTATCATCATACTTGAGGAACTAGTTTATTCCTATCTCATTATGTTTAGTATTTACATTTCTGTTATTTTATTTATGCTAACCACTGTCTCTCTGAATATAGCACTGTGTTACGTTGCCTGCCCGTTACCTGGTCTCAGTCATGATATTAACTTTTATTACTCAGTCCTACGGTCGGTCATAGTTTATTTAGCAGTTGTACTGTACCCTTATAGATGAATGATATAGAAGCTTATCGATCGGCTATTGGGCTATTTAATAATGGAAGACAACGGTTTAAGAAGCGTTTACAATTTAAAGTTACATTTTTTCAAGAACTCATTTTATCGTTAGTTAAATTAGTATTACATTTCATTAATTTTTTGGAGTTAAGTATAGCTAAGATACAATGATTTTGGTTTTACATTTTGTGTTATTATATTGATACTTAACGATTGCAGTCAAAGGGAGATAACAAGTGATTATACATTTGTATTGATTAATTGTTATTATTTGTTATTTTTGAGTATATTAATTTTATTGTCTGGAGATGTCGAATTGAATCCAGGTCCTGAGTCTGCGTCTTTTTCTATTTTTCATCAAAATATAAGAAGTATTAGAAACAAGTTTGATTATGTAAAAAATAATTTTCTTGACTTCGACGTTTTATGTTTCACTGAAACTAAGTTGTCCCCAGATGTTACCGACGACATGTTAACATTAGATGGTTATAGCTCAATATACAGAAAAGATAATTCTTCCCATTCCGGCGGACTTTTAGTTTATGTGTCTAATAACTTCGCACCTAAAAGACTATTGAGTTTGGAAAACATTTTACCAGAATCTATCTGGGTGGAAGTAAAAACTGATTCCAACAAATTTTTTATATGTAATTTGTATCGTCCTCCACAAACGCCTGTAGAATTATGGGAAAGGCTTAATATTTGCATAGATAGGGCTTCAGAACTTTCAAGTAATATCATTTTGTTAGGAGATGTAAACGAAGATCAACTTAACGTGAATAACCACAAGTTCC